ATCTCTACAAAAAAAATTAGCTAGGCATGGTGGCATGCACCTTTAGTCCTAGCTACTCAGGAGGTTTAAGTGGGAGGATGGCTTGAACCCAGGAGATGGAGGTTGTAGTGAGCTGAGATCGCACCACTGCACTCCTGGGCAATAGAAACAGAACCTGTCTCTAAATAAATGAATGATAAAGGTTTGAATGACCATTTATCTGTTGTTACCTAAACTCTTGTTATCTGAGCTTAGAAGCCAGAAAAATTTTCATAACACAGTAAGCTTTGTTATCAGGGCTCTCACTATTTGAACTAAGGTTGAATAGATTCACAGGAGATAACTTATATTTATTACTGATATTTTTGTTGCAATATTATTGGAACTTGTTCTGAATAGAATTTATTCTCATTGCCCTGGAGTCAACCATTGATTCTTTGCTTGTTCTCTTAATATACTCTCCCTTAGAGGACTCATCCATTTGATTGGCATCAGCTGTCACCATTTAAGTGAAAAATCTGTACATGTCACTCCCCTAATTGTCTTCATTATCTCCCTAATGAATCTCAGGAAAAGTCCCAGCTCTTAAACTTCACTCACAAGGCCTTGCATATCTGTTCCTACTTACATCTTCAGCTTTATGGTTTTAAACCAACAACAAACTCTTGCCTTTCCTTGAACTTGCAGCTCTTGCCTTGCTGAGCTACTCTAAAATTCACTCATCCCTTGAACTTGAAGCTGTTGCCTTGCTAAGCTACTTTCAAACCCATTCTTCCTAATGCTTTTTGGGTCTTGTTCATGTTGTTCTTTCTCCGTCCAATTGTTTTGTCTTCTTTGCCTGGCTAATTCTTTCAAATGATAGCCTAAATATTACTTCTTCCACAAAACATTCTTGGACCATCAAAGACTGGCTTTCAGTGTTCCCCTTATATACTTCCATAGCATCCTTTAGTTGCCTGTCCTGGCACTTATCACTCTATTATAATGTTTATATCTTATACTAGACCATCTGTGGTATAAAGAATAAATTAGAAGGCAGCAAAACCATTTTAAAGGCTAGAGACCAGTAAGACGCCTGTTGGGGAAATCTAAGGAGGAACTAGTCACGGTTGGTTGCATATATTAAGGTATTAGTGAGGATGGAGCCCAGAGATACTGTATTTAGAAAGAGAGGCGTAAGATCCTTGAGAGCATTGTCTGTCCTGTTTGTCTGTATATCGATAGCAGGGGAACTCTCATGAGTCCTTCCTTATACTCATAACGCCAATTCCATTTCCCACCTGTAAAACATTTCACTTTACCCTTAACTGTCTTGGTGCCTTATTTCTATAATTATCTGTGTAGCCTTTGAGGCGGGAACTTTGGATACCTAATTCCACCATTGGTTGTGGATTGTTGATTGATTTCACCTGACTGACTGGGTAATCTCACAATCTTTCCTCACTACTTATTAATAATATCTCCCCTCTATGACATGTTAAGTTGAAGATGATGATTTAGGGTTATTTGCTTAATGTTTGTTTAAATTTGCTTTTGGTGAGTGGCAAACAAGGGTAGAAATTAATATTTTTGCCTCTCTCCCAGCCAAATTTTCTACTTCTAGTGGCATCAACATTCTTTTATTTATCCAGGTTTTCACGTTTTTGAATTTTTATTAACATAGCCCTCTCTTTCATCAGTCATCTGTAACTTCAAGTTTTGCTTTAAGTTGTCTCCACTGTCTTCATTTTTCTTTCCAAGTTAACACTCTAACCTTAACCCATATCTAAATTATTGTAAAATCTCTCAGTTTATATTCTTAATTTCTTCGCCTCATTACCCTCAATTTAAATTCGCAAGAATGATGTTGACTCTAAACCTTGACATCAAATTGTCTTGATGAATTGATTTTTTTCCTAAGAATTTTAAGGCGTAAATGAGATAATGAATTAGTGCTTTATAACTATATATCCCCTAGCTCTTGATTTATTCCCTCCTTTTAAAAATCCTTGCATCTTGCCAGGCGTGGTGGCTCACACCTGTAATCCCAGCACTTTAGGAGGCAGAGGCAAGCGGATCATCTGAGGTCAGGAGTTCGAGACCAGCCTGGCTAACATGGTGAAACCTCATTTCTACTAAAAATACAAAAAATTATCTGGGTGTGGTGGCATGCACCTGTAATCCCAGCTACTCAGGAGGCTGAGGCAGGTGAATCACTTGAACCTGGGGGGCAGAGATTGCAGTGAGGCAAGATCGTCCCATTGCACTCCAGCTTGGGCAGCAAGAGTGAAACTCTGTGTCAAAAAGAAAAAAGAAATCCTTCCATCTTAAACTCTATTTTTTAAGAAGATTTTTCGTAATTGAGCCAATATTTGTTTAACCTTAATTTCTATAAAGAGATGAAATAGTGTACTAATTAAGAGTAAAGCCTGTAGAATTTAAATCAAGCCTCACATTCTGGGTCTAAGTACCCAGGACAAATCATTTGATCTGTTTGCACCTCTGTCTTTTCAACTTTATAATAGAGGTAACACTATCTGTTTTAGGGTTATTGTCATGAGGACTAATTAATAGTCTCAAATTACTACCTGGCATACTATATATGGTACATATCAGTACTGAAGCACACAATTTTTTGAATTTTACTGCACTTATGTATTAACTGGTCAGGAAACACACCATAAAGTACCTTCACTTGAGAGTGAAAATCTCAGACATAACATTTGTAAAAAATACCATGTGACATCTAAATATAATGAGACATGTGGAGACTCATATGACAGGAAATGGAGAAAAGGCAATCTAGGAATTAACTTTATGGTTCATAAGGTAAAAGGAACCTACCCCATGTGAGACATAATCCCTTCATGTTTATATTCTCCATCTTTGCAATTAATCAGATTCAGTAAGAGTGAACAAGCCAACAGGCCAGGTTCATGTTTGAGCCATTTCCGAGTACTATGTGATACAAATAGTTGTTATAGACTCTAATTAGCTACTTAACCCTAAGACTTCCAGCCAGTTTACTGTAAGACAGCCAAGGATCATGCCCCTTCACTTCTGAGCTTTAAGTTTCCCGAACTGTAAAACAAGGTGTGAACCAGATAGAGTGCTTCTGAGATGCTTTCCAACTGTGAAATTCTGTTGGTTTGTAATTTCATAAATCATAGAAAGCATTTTACTATAGTGAGTGGTCTACTATAAATAGAAGTATCTTCACCAAGCCAATACTCAGAATATTTGTACTTTAAGTTTATTGACAACTATTGGGAATTAGTGCTTTTATTGACTATGTTAGTCTGACTGAAAATTAAAAATAGATCATAGGAAGTGAATTTCTTACCTCCTTTTAGGTTATTACAATTTTATGTTCAGTAAAAGCAGACACTTAAAGGAATGAGGAAGCTTCCAGAGTTCAAATGCCCTGTTGGCAGTGTGACTCTGCTACAGAATACTATTTGGGGAGACCAGCTTACTCATTGTGGGGTGCCGGGAATGGGGGAAGCTGGGAGGGCCAGAAACCCACAAGAGTAGTAGAAAAGAACCTTCCCTTAGGAGGATAACATCCTCTGCATTCTATTTTTATATTTCAAAGTGGGGTATTTTTACTTCAAATGACAGTACTGTATATAGTTATCAAAAGCAGAACGTTGTATATTTGCTAATAGAGAAGTATTGCCATATGATGATCTCCTTGCGCCCCCATGACATTGTAAAGAAAAAAATAATCCTAATAAAATCAGTTCTTAAAATGTTTTAAATTCTTAATAAAAAATGCTGTAGTAAATATAGATCTTCACTTCAAAACACCTTATATTTTGTTTAATGTCTCTCTTGTCTTCTGTGACTTTCCCAGTTTTTTCCGTAACATTGATATTTTTTCAGCATTTAAGCTAGCTCTCTTGTAGAGTAGTCCACATTCTGAATTTATCCAATTGTTTCATTATTAGATTCAGATAAAATATTTTTGGAGAAATACAGCATAGATGATTTTTTTTTCCCTGTTGCACTATATCAGGAGGCATCAAATGTTAGCCTGTCTGATTATTAGTAATGTTAAATTTGATAATTTGTTTAAGGTAGAGTCTGGTGGTAAGTCAACATACTTTCAAAATTTAAAGTTATCAGTAACCAAAGAATATCTTGTTCAATGACAATCTCTCATCTAATAGGTTTTGTCATCTATTTATGAACCTTGCCAGAATCAGTGATTACCTTAGTGGTTGCAAAATATTGATTTTCTACTTCAAGAGATGTGTTAAGTTAAAAAAAAAAATTATTACCATAAGATGGCCCTTGGCTATAGTAATCATTTGCTCTTTTTGTTTAGAATGTATTAGGAAATATGTGAGAGAATTAGGTTCAAATGTTGTCTTTACCTGTAGAGGTTGAGCTCTTTAGGAAGTTCCACAAGATGTGCTCACTTCGGCAGCACATACACTAAAAAAAAAAAAAGAAGTTCTGCAAGAGCTAAGGCACCAGAAAAATTAAGAAGAAAATTTATCAGCCATGTTAGTAATTAGATTTAGATAATTAAATTTCTGATATTAGTCCCATAGTTGACCCAGTTCCTATGATTCAGACAGGAATTATCTTTTACCTTAAAACTACAGTTAAAACCTGTAGAGTCAGTATACTTCTATATTTGCAGAAGATGTTGTGGGACCATCCTAAAATATATAGCACAAATTGAAGATGCAAGCAAAAAGTTAAATTTTATTAACTCAAATTTCGGCTGGGTGTGGTTGCTCACACCTATAATCCCAGCACTTTGGGAGTCCAAGGCAGGTGGATCAGTTGACGTCAGGAGTTCAAGACCAGCCTGGCCAACATGATGACACCCCATCTCTCGTAAAAATACAAAATTTATCTGGTTGTGGTGGCGGGTGCCTGTAATCCCAGCTACTCAGGAGGCTGATGCAGGAGGCTCGCTTGAACAGGGGAGGCAGAGATTGCAGTGAGCTGAGATTGCGCTGCTGCACTCCAGCCTGAGTGACAGAATGAGATTCCATCCTAAAAAATATATATATATCAACTCAAATGTCTGTTATTGAGGATTTATTTGAAAGTTTTTATTACCTGACCTTGGTAGCATATTTTAAGCACAATTCCACAACATCATTAGAAACCTAAACCTGTTTCACTGTTTGTGTTTTAACATTTGTGAGGTAGAGACAAAACCAACTCATATAATTAATTACTGGTGTAGTAGTATCCAAAAAGAATATTAATGATAAGATTCTGTCTTATTAACAAGTTGTAGATTATTTCTAAATTAACAGTTTATTATCACTAGAGCTCACTGTTAACAGCTGAGTTACTTCCCTTCATAATTAGAAGAAGGCCTCTGTTTGACAGCAATAAAACTATATTTTAGGATAATTTTTAATTATGATTTTTCACTAATTCACTAGTTGAGTTTTTAACGCCTACCTAACAATTTCCAAAGCTTGACGAGAGAGAAGCTTTTGAAATGTAGTAGAAATAGTCATTTGTTTTTTTTCTACAGTGTAAGTGGGTTGCTTCATTATTCTGCATTTTAGCTTGTCCATCTGTTTCATAACAAGTTTCTATTACAGTTTTTAAGAAAAGCTGCCTTGAAATATGTTTCTTATAAGTAACAACGATTTTATCTGAGAATGAATCATTTATACTCGTTGGTGGAAGCGATAATAACTCTTTATGGAAAAGTCAGGAGCTTGGATATTTGTTTTTTGGGTACCTAGGCTGGCACTTAATTTTTACCTCTTTTACCAGAAAGTGCAGGGTGCAGTAAAAGATTATACACTGGAGAAATTTTAGGTAAATCAGTGTGAATCAGCTGCCCCATCGCCTTTGTTGTTTGAAGATTTAGGAAGATTTTGTGGATTTCTTTGTATTTTTAACATGGATCTACTTCTAGGGCTGGGTCTATTTTTGAAAAGGTATTTATATTTTTTCACACTTTACTATAAAGCTGGTATCTTTTTATAGTGTTTGTCAAGTTAGTATAAAAAGCACTGCTGGTCTATTAATCTGTAAGGTTATATGAACTCTGCAAGACTTAACATTTTAGAGACATAGAAAAGTGGGATTTCTGGTTAGTGATGTACAGGTCTTCATGTAATGCAGGTAATGTATGAGCATTGTTGGATGGATCCTTATAACATTCCTGTATGCTTTTTTGAAAATATGATCTTGTTTAACAAAATGGGAAACAGAGGCACATGCTTTATCCAGCTATCACAGAAAATAATAGTTAGAATCCAGAAAACATACTCATCTGATTCAGTGTTTTGCCCAATAGATGGAATTAGTATTGTTTTCTTTATCTTATTTACCTTACAATTTTTAAACATTGTTTTTTCAGTTCAGTTTTGATTGATTCCTTTTCTTGTAAGTCTACCACTTAAAATAATATAGCCAACAGGAATCTGACACGAGGCAGAATTGTCCTCTGATTGCAGCTCTATTGCTATCTCCATCTGTTGGTATGAAGAAGTAGTGCTCTTGCCAGAATAAGCAAGCTTATTTTAATTTTAGCAAAAATAGATTAAGAAATAAGGAATTGTGCTGTTAATTCATTTTCTTTCTTTGTGACAGGTAAAGTCAGTTGGAAGCTGCAAAAGTGTCATAGGAAGTTAGCTATTATAGACAAACTGCCTTTTTAAAGGCTTTTTGTTAGTGATATTAAAAATGTCAAAAAGAGTTATTTAAAAATTGATGTATTAACCATGCCTAAATTCCTTATGGATTGTTCTTTAAGGAATTACAGAAATATATAGTTGTCTCGACTTTTTTTTCTTAAACCTGGGATCAAGCATCATTGTGCAACAATATTTTAATAGTGAGAAATCTCAAAACTCCTGACAGTCTTTGCATATTCACAGTTTCATGGGCTTTTGCATCATTGCTTCTGAATTGCTAATGAAGAGCTCAATATAGCTTCTGATGCATTTCAGATATACTGGGTGGTGACTGGCTAGAGTGTTACTGACATCACAACATACAGCTGTTGACTTTCTATTGTCTGAGTCCTTCTCAGCAAGTGCTTTAGACTGCTCTGGCAGGCACTCCCAATGCCTGACTAATCAGCTGGATGTGTGCAGTGAGCTCTGTAGAGGAGCAATGCAGAGCATCAGTTTACAGGTACTATGGAAAGTACATCTTCTTAACTCTGTATGATGAAGCAAATACCAATACAATGAAGGTATGTGATTCTTAATTCATTTGCTAAATTTGTATATAAGGTAACCTGATATATGAAGAATTATTCATGTTCACTTCATGCCATAATTTTTGTTAAAGGATGTGTGATAAAATTCTACCCTGTTGAAAGTGAGAGCATTTTAAAATTGGTTTTGTTATTTTTACAAAGATGTATTTGTTTAGGTTGATGAAGGGAAAAGTAGAGTCATTTACTTCTCAGCTGTAGCACTGATTTCTTTTCCCCACCCTTCACATGTTCCATATTTCTTGAACCTTACTGATAGAATGGTTTACCTATGTGCTAATAGGTGTTGGTGTATAGCACAGCAAATTGTTACTTGGAAACATGACTTCTTTTTCAAGTTCATCTTAAAATAGACATACTATATGGTTTGTTCAATTTCAAAAATTTTATTGTGGAACAAACAATGTGAATGAGACGCTTAGAAATTAAGAAGCTAACAATCTTAACTTTCAAAACTCATGGTAATGGTTTTATATCCTTTTAGGGGAAGAGGTGGAATAATTTTTAAAGTGTTTGTAACAGTAAAACCTAGATCTGTCATTGCTATGATTAGCATAATCAGATATCACATTGCAAAAGAGAGCAAATGCTAATCAAACTATGTAATTTTTGAGGAGTATCTCATTCCTAATTATACAGTCTGAAAACTTTGACATTTACCTTGATATTTTGATTCCTCAAAACTGAAATCTTATCATGTAGGTGATACTGAATAACACATGTCCATTAGTGTATAATTGAATTGTTTAGAAGGTTTTTGAGAGTTTTGCTTGCTTTTTATCTGGAAATAGCTGAAATTTTAACAGCATTTGGAATTGTTATGATATGAATCCCCCCCCATTTAAATGAAACAATTATTTTGTTCTTAAGAAATAATTCATTTCGTTTTTAGAGGAAATCGGAAGAAAATCACTAAATAGCCTTTTATCAACGCTGAATGTCATTGCTTTTTCTTTTGTCTATTCCTGATTCCCAACTGTGTAAGTAATTAGGGTTGTGAAAATATTAATAGCTATTATTAAAATTAGGGTCTTTTTTCAGAGGCATTTCTTCACCCTAATGCCAAGAGAATTTCATTAAGCCTCAGATTTTAAGTTTTATATTGAGAACTATAAAAGAAAAAATTAAAATAAGTAGCACATACTCTCAGTTCTTACCTACAACTGCTTTTATCCATCCTTTGTCACATTCTGCTTTTTTGTTTCATATCTTTTCCTCATTTTCATTTCCTCTTTTCTTTCCTTTAGGTTTCTGTTTGTGTGTGTGTGTGTCTCTGTCTTGCCCTCCCTCTTTTTCTGTTTGACTTTCTGAATATTTGTCTCCCTCCATCTTCCATTCTTCCTATCCCCACCCATTTTTCTCTCCTCTCCCTCTCCATTTGTCTTTCCACTTTGTTTCAGTCTATCTTCCTTTCTGTTCATCTACCTGGTGTTTCAGGGTGTCTCTCCCTTTCTGACTAAATCTATCTTAATTGCTCTCATTATCTCTCTCCCTTTCTCCCTCATCTTTTCTTTCTCTTTCTTTCTGTCTTTCCTTTTCTGCCCCTCTGACTCTCTCTCCCTGTCTGTTTTAGTATCTCCCATTCTCTGTCTCTTGCTTTCCCACTGTGTCTTGGTCTCTTCCTCTCCCTATCTGTTAGTCTGTGTCCATTATTCCCTCTTTCTTGGTCTGTTTCGCTATGTGCCCTTCTTTCTTCTCCCTCTCTCATCCTTTTGTTGCTCTGTGCCTCTCTTTCTCCCTACCTTTCGGTCTCTATTTATGTGTCTCCCTGGCTGTACCTCTTTCAGCCTGCCTCCATCCTTCCCTCTCTTGGCACTCTGCTCTCTTTCCTGCCCTACTCCCAGATCTTTCTCTCTCTTTCCTGTCTAAGCTTCAGTCATACACATTCACTTTGCAAATTTTCATTCTCATACAGGTTTTCAGTTTTCATTGGAGCCTAGATTTGCACTCTAAATTTTTTTGGTTAATTAATAAACCATTAGGTAAAGAACTTAATGCCATATTTTAAATAAACATGATTTACTGTTTGCTTGGTTTTTTAATTTTAATTTAATTTTTAATTTTTTTTAAAATTTGTTGGTCTTCTAAAGATATACATGTTAGGCCATTATTAAAGGGAATTATTTTTTCTTTTAAAGGATTTTTCCATTAATTTTTAAGACTTATAGAAAGCAATTTAAAATTTTTTCCTTTTAAGGATACATAAGATAATACCCACTTCATAATTATATTTTAAGATTATGGGTAAGCTTATATTTAAAACTTGCATGGACTTTCTTATACCATCTGTATTTTTCACATGTAGTTAACAGCAGATATATGCTAGTATTTTCTTCTTTTGTTTTTAACCCCTTGTTTTGAAATAATTACAGATTTATAGAAAGTTGCAAAAATAGTACAGAGTATTTTTAAAATGTTTTCCTCAAGATTTTGTATTTTGTATCTGAGACTTTAAAGTAGAAGCACAGACGCTCATTTAGCATTTACCTGTTTGCATAATCACAAACCTAGCAACTGTCATTATATTGTTTTCATTTCATTTTGTAAAGCAGATTAAGATACCGTTTGATGAAGGCATAGCATATATTAATAGTGATATGGCTTTGTCACAACTAGCACAGAGCTATCAGGAAAGAAAATTAGATTTACAAGTAATAAGTTATATATGTAAAGTATTGAAGAAGCAAAGAAAGACGTATAGGATGAAAATCTTCTCTGAGCTGAGTTAAATGTGATTTGCACATATAGCTCTTCCTCCTCTGAAATTATCTAGCATTCCTGGTTTCTGCATTCTTTTGATGTCTCTACTGCTTTATATAGTTATCATCTCTGCTCTTGATCCCCCCGGTTGTAGGGGACAAAAGGTGGGAATGAAACAGAGCCAACAAAATCATCATCTCTAAATCTTGCCATACTTCCACAGCTGACCAACCCTCCTTCTGATTAATAAGTAATATTTTAATACAGTTAATATAATTTATTTTTTACAAACTGAGTTCCTCTGAGCCCCAGAGTACCACAGAAGTACTTGAGGAAATAGAGAAAGCCTGAAGCCCAGTTGACACTGCTTTACTCATCCCCACCTTCTCACTTGAACAGAACAAGTTTATATAAACATATATTTCCACGGTCTAGTTCTCCAGAAGCCTATATATGAATCCTACTTAACCCTTATTTTATATTTTATATGTGTATGCTATAAAGTGACTTGGATAATATAATAAATCTGTCACATTATATAATATACATTATGCAAATCTGTTACATTATATAATATATACTATGCAAATCTGTCACATTATATAAATATATTATGCATGTTATTATAATATACATAGATATAAAAAGAGGTTGTTAGCTAGGATTCATGTATAGGCTTCTAGAGAACCAAGCAACCCCTAAAAGCATGTGTAAACTGTGAACATACACATGTGGGTAAGCACATGTGACTGCTGCATTCCTAAGGAGAGGATCCTTGGGTTTAATAAGATTTTCAAGAGGAATCCTTTCATGTCCCAAAAATAATTAAGAGTCACTGCTTTATAGTGTTTATAAATCATTGCTCAATATGCTGTGTTAATTTTAAATTTTCTCTCTTTTCATTTATTTTCAAATGCTTAGAAAGATACGTAGCTACCTCTACAATAGCAAACACATCAACAGAGATCACATACAGGTTTTTTTGAAGTAGTTTGAAAATATACAGCGACTGATTACCAGACACATCAGATGTCAGACGTCAGCTTGGGGTCACCAGAGAGAGGGAGCACATCATTTTTGTATTCCAGTACTTTCAAAGTGCTGGATAACTACAGCTTCCTTTAACAGGTGGAAAATGAGTGACAACAAAAATAGAAAACTGTATGCCCCGTCAAGATCCAATGAGATAATTGTAAAGAAAGTCATGTGTTAAATATGAATAACTACTAAAACAATTCGATGTGGTAGGCACAGGTAGGAAATAATGCCACACAAAAACATCAACTCTGAAATGCATTAAACCCATTGAAATTTTCATATTATGCAAAACCATAGGAAGTTGAGCCAATTAAATTGGACAGGTACTTTAAAGAGAAATTATGTCTGCTAGCTCTATACGTGTAGTATATTGTGTGAACTATTAGAGATTGTGAGGTTTTTAGCAGTGTTCACCCTTGCCCAGCAGCAGCACCTTCAAGCTGTAAAATTGTTTGGACTTTGTTGTACACATCCTTTTATAGCATGTGAAGGTAGATGATGGCAACTGAAGACAGCACCTGTTCTACCCCAAGCTGTTTTTAAGCTGTTTTTACTGGCTACAAAATGCTCTTTGACTGAAAGAAGAAATAAAACATTTTTGAGCCTTTTCCTTCTAACATAATCCTTAGGTGCTTTCTTGAGAGAGGGCTGTGATCCTTTGTTAGAAAAAATGTGGTTGGCAATTCAAGAAATAAAAGGTGGCACATTAGTAGTTATGAAACTGAATGTCTACCAATTGTAACCTAAATTAAAATCCTATAAAGGAAACAGACGTTTTGGTGTAGGGAGGAAATGGGTCATGGTACATCTACTGATTCAAATGCTAGAGAATGTGAAGTTTCACATTTTAAGCCATCAAAGAATCATTGGGTGGATTAATATGCCAGGAGCCCAGCATGAATATTGCTAAGATTCTTTGATGATAGAGCTTTGTACTTTTAAGACCCGTAAAGGATTTTCATTGTGACTCTGTCATAAAAATGAAATGTTGGTCACGGGTAAAAAGATACATTCATTTAGTTATATATTAGTAGTGTAGAGAAAAATATATCAAGTGAAATAGAATTTTGAAAGCATGAAGGAAACATCACATCAAAGTCTAGCTAAAATACCATTAGACGAGGGTTTCTCATAAACAGCCCAGCCCTTGCCAAAGTCTGTATAAAGCAAATGCTTATTCATTGATGGCATTATGAGTGGCTGAAATTTAGAAACCAAGATTTTGCTTATAATGATGT